AAAGCACATGACAATCGGAAAAGTGTATGTGGAGATCTGAGTTATAAAAAATTAGGCCTATTTAACTACAACAGCAATCGAACATAGAAAATTACAGGAATTGTTTGAAATTTCATGCCTCTTGGTTGCAGGAAAATATGAAATGTAGCTCCCTCATTGCAGTTCCTCCTGCTTTTTGAGGTTGAGGTAGCTTTTCCAGGATATCACTCCATGGGGTGAATCCTTAAATGCAAAGGATATGATGAACTACTGGTTGAACTCACCCCCAAGGCTTTGGCTCATTTTGCCTCCACAGCCACCATTTTGGGAAAAGTGCGTAGTGTAGCAACCCAGAGGAACGCTTTTGCTAATTCGCTCATGTTTTACACACTGGAAGTTCAACATATTTGAGATAACTTTTAAAACTGACTGATTAAATATGCCAAAAAAAAAAGCGCTCTCCACTTAATCCACATTGTTCTTCCTTCCAGAGCAAGATGGAAATAGAGAATACAAACTAAATTTAGGGTCACAAGACAAAAATGTGTATGGTTGCCCAGATAAAGGTGGACAGATATCCAGATACCCACTAGCTCATCTTACCCCACTCTCCCCTTTAAACTGCTTCACCTGCATTACCAATCATAGAAGTGGACAACCAGCCTCAGAAGACACACCATGCTACTGGAATTATGGTACTGAGTAGTGTCCGGTGTTCACACTTTCAACTAAGGTAGAATGGCATCTAGGCACCTTTTTATCTATTTGGTATTGGATACATATGTTCTGGAATACTGTTTTGCCATACTATTTAGAGCACAGTCTTTCTACAGTAGCTACTAAGCTCCCTGGAAAAAAATTAGTCACCTTGTGTGTTTAAGACGGTAGTGACTCCAGGCTCCTGCAGATGGCGTTGCATCTGCATCTGCGGGGTGTGTGACAGGATTCATTGTTTGAGAAGAGGTGGTACAGTGAATGTCTAGTTCAATGTGTTCAAAACGGGTCTCAAAAGCAGATGTTAATGATAGGCAATAATGATTGGGCAGCTGAAGGCCACAGTGTGAAGGAAGTAGCTAAATTTTCAGGTGTATCGAAGTGTACGTTCATATGGGTTGACCAGCTGTGGCAAAATTCCCAGTCTACAGAAAATTCTTGTTAGAATTGTGGCCAAAAGACGAAACTAAAGGACAGGGACATCCAGCGTGTTTCTCGGCTTGTGAATGAAAACGCTTCGCTTCCAGGCAAGAATTGCTTCTAGAAGTCAATGCAGGTTCTTCACAACCAATTTCTGAAAGAACACTATGCATGGAACTGCGTACCATGAACATATTGAACAGAGCGGCACACAAGAGGTCTTTGCTCACTTCTGCTCATAAAGTTGCCCGGTTACAGTGGGCGAAGAGACACAAAAACTGGACTGTTCATGACTGGAAAGGTGTAATCTGGTTAGATGAATCTCATTTCTGCCTGAATGTAAATGATGCTGGGCATTGTGTTCATCATAGACCTCAGGAAGCCTTCAGTGAGGGCTGCCTGCAATGAGTGGTTCAAGCCAGAGGAGCTCTGTGATGTTATGGGGTGTTTTAATTATGTAGAAATGAGCTCTTTGGTTGAAATAACAGTAAATGTGAACCACAGTGCTGACACTGAGCTGCTGGACAACCAGGTTGTGCCTTTTGCTCATCATCATACCAAGGAATATAACATTCCTATGCCTGTATTCCAAGATGACAATTCTCATGTTCACAGGGCTGCAAATGTGACTGACTGACATTATGAACATTCAGGAGCATTTACACATCTGGACTGGCCCACAAAATCCCCAGATTTGAATTCCTTTGAAAATCTGTGGGACTACTTGGAATGAGTAAGACGCCAGGGAAGGCGAAATCTGGCTGAACTGCACAATTTTTTGATGCAAGAGTGGCTGAACATTGATGTCGCCTACATCCAGAAACTTGTCCAGTTCACGCCAAATTGAATCACAGCTGCTATTTGTGCTCATGGAGGTATTACATGCTATTAGGTACGTTTCAGCCACAGGTGATTAATGTTTTGTCCGGTGAGCTTATTTAGATTATTTAGAAGTATGTGATTTGGGACACAGCCCAGATAAACTATGAAAGGTCATTGCGCTGGATCAATCCTGGCAAAAATAATGCCACTTAAAGCAATTCAGCACCTCATAACAAGTGGAACAGAAGATAATTATATTTCAGCTTGTTATTACTTCCTACATTCAAGTGAATGAAGAGAGGGCCATGTGTTGTGATGAAGCGATGGCACCATCTGGTGGAGCAAAAAGGAACTGCTGCAGACTGAAAACTGATGAAATGAACAGGAAGTAAAATTGAGTCTTCACACTCATGTGATGAGGCACGTGCATCCTGTGCACCTGAGCATATAAGCTTTCCTTACCCACATCAGAATCGTTTATAAGTCAAAAAGTGCAGTAAAACTGGCCTTGGTTGCTGAGGCTTACAGTTATGGACAGTATTGTGCAGAAGTCCACCCTTCATTTATTTCATTTTTGGTCAAAACGGACCTTAAGTACAAGTTATTCTTTTTTCAGAACGTATTTCTGAGGAATTAGATCTAAAATAAGCCCAAGGAAGGTGAAAGTCAAAGAAAATAAGTGAAAAAGAAGCTTCCAAAACTGGAACTGATAAAAAGATACAGAGAAAGTGGGACTCGTAACAAGGCCTGGTAGACCACCAAAACTGCCCCCACCAGATAAACAGCACTTAAAGCTTTCATTTTTGAGAGAGAGGAGAAAATCAAGCTGTTTCAGATCTGAAAACATCCACAGGAGTTTCTGTCCATCCTTCCACTGTGAGAACTGAAAAAGCTGCCAGCACACTCAGAACAATGGACTGAGCACCGCAGAGTCCAGATTTCAGCATCACTGATTGTGTTTGGAATTACTTGTATTGGGAGAAGCAGAAAAATGCAACTTCTAAGACTGAACTTTCGAGATCTGCGTACTTCTTTAAAAATGATATCATATTTAGTTGTTTGCAATGATGCTGGGTTATTTAAACAAGTCAGTGTCACTGTCAGGATGAGAACAGTCAGCTAACCAAAATTAATATTCAGTTGTGGACAGTAACTAATTAAGGGCTAGAGGATGACAGACAAATTCATCATGGTGAAAAGAAAGCTATGGTCACTAGCTGTACACCTACAAAGTGTACCAACAAGGTAAGGGTTTCTAATGAAGTGGCCAGTAAGTGTACATTGCGTGTAAAAAACCTAGCAACAGTGCTATAAAGCTCTCATACCAGCGCCACAGACTACCATGATACTATGATACGTCACCACTGTGATAAATATCTGGTGGTGTTATAATTGGGGTAGAGGGTGATTCAGTTTGCTGGCTTCTCTTTTAACTTATTATCATTAGTGACTGTGAAGGCCACTGAAGAACGCTGAACTCACTTGTCATGTTTGTGAAACCAGTTTGAGACGACTTTTGCTTTATGACGGTGCATCATCATGCTAAAAGAAGCCATTAGAAGATGGGTAAATTGTGGCCATGAAGGGATGCACACGGTCAGCAACAATACTCAAACGGGCTGTGGCATTCGAGCAATGATTGTTTTGCAGTATTGGGTCCAATGTGTGCCAAAAAAACATTCCCCTCACAATTACACCACCTCCACCAGTCGGACTATTGATACAAGGCAGCTTGTGTCAGTGGATTCATGCTGTTGGTGCCAAATTCTGACCCTACCATCTATGAGCCTCAGCAGAAATCGAGATTCCTCAGACCAGGCTATGTTTTTCCAGTCTTTAACTGTCCAGTTTGTTGAGCCTGTGCCCGCTACAGCCTCAGCTTTCTTTCTGTTCTCGGCTTGGAGAAGTGGAACCTGACATGGTCTCCTGCTGTTGTAGCCCATCCACCTCAAGGTTTTAAGTGTTGTGCATTCTGAGATGCAACTCTTCTCACCACACCAGTACAGAGTGGTTAACTGAGTTACTGCAGCCTTTCTGTCAGCACAAATCAGTCTTAAGGCTGGTGTCTAAATACTTTATTGTACATAAGTCATAACACAGACAATACTTGTTTCCCCCCACTGTATACAGTGTACCTACAAGGAAGGTGGAGCCCAAAAAAGGGGACAGTGAGCAGAAGTACAAGGGAGGGCTTTCTAATGGTGGCAACTCAGTGTATGATAATCATGCAGTATCATAATTACTGTACACATTTTAACTATGGCTTATTCATAAAGCAAACAGTTCCAATGACCTCCAGTCCTGTTTGTTGCAATAGAGGTGAAAGTGAAAGAGCAACAAGTCGACTGTAGCTTTTCAAGACCCTGTTTCTTGAATGCTCTCCAGAAAACCAAAAAACACACCACATGGTAACCGGCTTTCACTCTTAAAAAAAACATGGTTCCTCAAGGGTTCTTTAGTAAATACAACAGTTCTATATAGAACCATTTGTATGCTTAAAGGGTTCTTTGTACCATGAAATGTTTCTTCAGACTGATGGAGAATGTGTGGTATATGGTTCCATATAGAACCTTTTTGACAAGGATTCTGCTATTCTTGTGATGTCAAGCTTGTAACAATAGCAGAACCCTTTTTGGCGCTTTATAGAACCCTTTCCAAAGAGGTTCTGTATAAAACCATTACAACATATTCTCCATCAATCTGAAGAACCATTTCATGATACATATTACAAATTATTTGGTGCTATATAGAACCTTTTTTTTTGGGAAAGGGATCTATATAGCACCAAAAAGGGTTCCGCTATTGTTACAAGCTTGACATCGTAACAATAGCAGAACCGTTTTCTTAAATGTTTTATATAAAACCATTTAGAAACACATTCTTAATCAATCTGAAGAACCATTTTACCATGCAAAGAACGCTTTAAGCATGAAAATGGTTCTTCGAGTGTTTATGGTTCTATACAGAACAACCATCTTGACTAAAAAACCCCTGGAATAACTGAAAACCTTTGTTTTTTAAAGTGTAGGGAAAACAATGAAGATAATGAAGATATAATGCACAGATTAACTACTTCCAACAAGGTTTATTCAAAATATATGTGTCACTTGTACAGGCAGATTCACGTCACCGCTTTAAAGCACAGGAAACGAGGCCAAATGGCATCAGAAGATTCGTAGCAATCACAGTCTGGCTGTTTTTGCTTCATCTTATTTTCCCAAAGGTGCCAAAAGAACAGCAGACAGTTGCAAATAGAGCATACAGAAAGAGAGCGTCAGTGATACAACTTAAATGATCACAGTTCTTTAACTATACCCCCCTCCCCCACAACCTTAGCACTGACACTGTAACCGAGACATGTACAAATGGTCATGTGGTGAACACTTCGGCATTCATGTGCGTATTAGCATATCATGTATGTGCGTATTAACGTTTATGTCTTCCAAGATATTTAGTTTAGGATTTAACACTTAACACATTCTTCTGTGTTCTGTAGTGCAGGCAGGAGCACAGATACTTTGGCCTGAAACGTCAAGAGAGCGAGACAACAAACAAAACACGAGAGACATCTGCATGAGAGCAGGAAGTGCAGCCTGCGATCTCTGTGGTTTGAGCTGGGAAGCTGCAATAAAGCTGCAGACGAGCTGACGTGCGAAGCGCTTTTTCGTGAAACAGTAGGACACACACCATCAAGAGAATGATGAAAATGCTGTATTTGATTTTAAAGTTTCCCAACATTCTGCACAGTATTTGACAAGATACAGTACCCTGTAATGGCATGTGGACATGAATGCACACACTCATCACACAGGGTCTTTTACTCCATACATTTATCACAGCAGCACCAGAGTGACAGAAAGCTGGATTACGCGTCTCGTCTCTTGATGATGAGAGGACCCACGTTGTCTCCAGTTTCCTCGTTGTGTTTGGTGTGTGCACCATCGCAGTAGGGGAACTGTAAGGAAATAAAACATCTGTTACGAGCAGGAGACGCAGGAAGTAGAAGATTTTAGGATTGTTTGACTGCAACTGCTAAAAACACCAGAAAAATAACAAAAGAACTTTGAAGCAAAGCAAAACACTGTGCTTTTTGTAGGATGGACGTCGTAGTTTTATTTTGTTTTATTTATATACAATGGCGGTCCATAACTTAAATATTTCGAAAAAAAAACTAAGTTAGAACAAGTACATTTACGTATAATCTTCCTAAGTTCAGTCACGTCACTCCACTGTCTTCTTGTAGCTGCACGCATCAGATTTAAAACACTGATGCCTACAAAGCCACAAACAGGCCAGCCCCTCCCGACCTGATGGCAGTGGGCAAAACTCAAACTGTACTTCGAGCCCTTTAAACTTCGAGTACAGCTCGACTTGACCCGCCATCCTTCAAGACACGTGGAAGACAAGCATCTAGACTTTTCTCTGTACTGGCACCCAGGTGGTGGAACGAACTCCCACTGGTTGTCCGAACAGCAGAGTCTCTCGCTGTCTTCAAATGCAGACTGAAGACACATCTCTTTATACAGCACTTAAATGAGCACTGAGTTAAGTACTTATTGTAATGCATTGTACTGAAAATATTGAAATGTATTACAACGTATTGCTTTTGTAGGGCTTTTGTTTCTAGCAGTGTCTGAACTCAGGACTAGATTTCTCTCTAACCTATTTGTAACTAGCACAGATACTTTCTCTGAGTCGATAACAAAGCACTTGCGTAAGTCGCTCTGGATAAGAGCGTCTGCTAAATGCTGTAAATTTAAGTTATAACAACTAAAATGAAAAAGAAATTCTGCAGTATTTCAAGGTAACTGTCCAAATTGACAAAACAACGCTGTGCAAACCTCACCCTCATGAACTGACCCTCCCAATGATGCTGCTGCTGCTTAAACTAATCAATTTAACCATTGCTCCACCTGTTTTCCAGATTGTGTACTACAATACCTTATACTAACAATGTTTTGCTATCTGGTGTCAACCAGAGGAGAATGAGTTCCCCTTTTGAGTCTTGGTTCCTCTCAAGGTTTCTTCCTCCTGCTCTTAGGGAGTTTTTCCTTGCCACTGTTGCCACTGGCGACGCTCATGGGGGTTTGGACCCAGATTTCTTTCTTTAATGCTGATTTTTCTGTAAAGCTGCTTTGTGACAACACCTGTTGTAAAAAGCGCTTTATAAATAAACTTTGCTTGCTTGCTTGAAGCAGAGGCGTGACACTGACCATGCCTTTGTACAGTAAGGCCTGATTTGTTTTGTTACCCTTACTTTTTTACTGTTCACATTCTCAGGCAGACTTGATCAATTGATCAGAGGCTTTTGCACAAACTTATGGAGTCCATACCAGCTTGAGTGCCCACTGCCATTAAAGCAAAGGAGGGACATAACAAATATTAAGAAGTTCTAAAATTCATGGAAATACATTTTATTACATTAGAAAGGAATGCAAAATAGGTTAATTTTCACCAGTGATCTCAAACTCCACTGTATGTTAAACATATTTATGTTAAAGCTGCATTTTAGAGCAAAGGGAATCGCGTTCCTCAATCAACTGTTGGGGGCACATTGCTAAAACACAAGCAGGAGTTGTATCATATTTTATATTCCCCGAAACAGCTTAATATTGTTTTATATGTTTTCAGCCGACGTCACTCTCCCACTCCCATCCATTTTTCAGCCACTCCTGCTAGATATGCGCACGTAGCTAGCTGTACGATTGGTGTGGGAACGCTGTGATGGACCAGTTTTGCACACAGAAGCTGAGATTTGGTAAGTGGGGGTGCGTAATCAGAATCAGCCCATTTTTGCTGCAAACACACATTTTTTTCATTTTAACCAATCTGTGTTGCAACACAACATAAATAACAAAAGTCAGGTGGGTGCATTCAGGCTGAATCTGAATCTGCTGCTGCTACATCTACCAAAATGTTGCAGCATAATTATGCAAAACTCATTACTTCCAAAGTAACACTTTATTTAAGGGATATGATTTGAATAAGCAACTGATTTTTTTGATTAAGAAATTAAAAAGCTAGTCTGGCCCATTAATATAGAGTCCTAAAGAGCCACATATTCACATTTATTTACTCCATTTTTATGTTTTTTCTCAAGATCTTGAGATATTTATGCAATTATCAATACACAACAAACGCTGAGGAAAAATCATGACATAACAAATGTTATTTTCCAGAGATCTTGAGGTATTTATGCCGTTATCATGACATAATGGATGTTATCTGGATAAAATAATGGGTAACGCTTTACTGTAGGGTGCTGTTCATGTGGCTACATGACACCTTCATTAGCTTGTCATGACAGCTGAAATAACTGTACATAAATGTTTATAAATGTTTATTGTGATAGGCAGCATCTGTCATAAAGGCTACTTTAGCTAACTTTGTTAAAAATTGGCAAATGTAACCTTTATAGTGAATGACGCCTATTGGAATAAGCATGTATAAACATGTATGTAGGATTATGTCAGTTGTCAAGACAAGCTTATGTAGGTGTCATGCAGCTTTATGAACAGCACCCTACAGTAAAGGGTTACCAAATAATGTCTGTTATGTCGTGATGATATAAAAAACTTGAGATCTTGTGTTATCACAGCACAACAAATGTGTTTTCTCAAGATCTTGAGTGAAATGAATGAAAATAACAAACATGCAAATCCATGTTCCTTTAGGAGCAAAAAAATCTTATTTATACCACAACTATGGCCAATAAAAATGAATTTCTAACATGAATGTTTCATGTGCATAGATATATATATAAAAATTAAATATATACATCATATTTCAGAAGAAAACCTCGTATCTCCATTTTTGTCGTTTTTTCATTTTTGACATAATTTGAAAATGTCGGTTGCTTTTTACATTGTATGTAAATTTCATGATGAATGGACCAAAAGAAAAGACCCAAAACAACTTGGAAAAAAGTCTGGTTCCACTGACTTACATTCATAGTGTGTTTTTTCCTTCTCCTGTAAAGTTACCATTTTGGAGATATGTGGTTTTCTTCCGACAACAGCGATATATTATATATAATGCTGTAACTCTTTGTACTGCATTCAGTGATAACTCTCCTAATATATAATACAATGCATTTATTCCATTTGCATAAAAGACAGTTAATCTTTCTTTCAACTTCATAGCATCCATTTCTCAATCTCATTCCTATCTTCACACTACTTCACAATCACGATACCCAGAATGCCATGTAATTGAACAAACTTACCTTTTTGGACCTCCAGCAGCGGCAGTAGACGGCCTTCTTGCCGAGGTCCTCAATGTCGAAGCTGTGCACCACTTTGGCGCTGTCTTTGTTGTGCTCCAGGTTGACCCTGCCCTTGGAGCAGCTCTGGCTACTGAAGTACCTGGTGAGCAGGTAGGTGCCCAGAGCCGCAGCCACTGCAACAGGAACGACGATGGTCAGGTGATCTGCAAACGCACACACCGGCAGGTCCTCTGATATTCATCCCTGAAAACCTACTAATAATGAGGAACCTATCTAGGTGTTAAGGATAACCATACATTTAGTAGTACTACTATCACTATCACTACTGCTACACTAGTACACTGAAAAAGTGATGCACTAAATTTACCTGATTCAAATGTGTACATCATTTCCACATAAATGACATTTATTACGTCAGCATAATGTTTCAGTTTACTTCACTATCATAAATCAGTACCTCATAGTCATTCAGCGCATTGTGGTGATGTAATCGTCCTTATCATGTGCATCACTTATTTAGTGTACTACTACTACTACTACTACTACTACTACTACTAATAATAATAATAATAACAATAATAACAATAATAATAATAATAATAATAATAATATAGAATTTATTTACACCACAGAGGAATGTATATGTACTTCTATGACGGTCAGTTGAGGGCATTTAAACGTTATTTATCCCATACGGCAATTTGAATAGAAGACATAAAACACATACACATCACAGACACACTTGAGTGGTCGACTTAGCCTATTGCCCAGTGACCCTGGCCACAACATTTTCAAATTTTGGTCACTAAAAATGACCACTCGGCCACTTGCCTTGTGTTAGGTGTTTTTTTTTTTGGTTTGTTTGTTTTGGAGTGTTTTTCTTTCTAAGAAACCACCAGTTGATTTTCACACATTCACAAATTAAAAAAAAATATATATATATATCGACTTTTTACCTTCCCAGGCGAGATCCAGAGCCTGTTTGATCAGACATAGAATTCTGATTAAATCCAAATTTTATAAATTTTTTATATCTGTCTACTAGTGCTGGCCAAAAATATCAAGTCACGATAAACAATTCACATTATGATATTTCGTTTTTCCTGAGATTTAATAAGTTGTAACAGACAAAATAGAACCTGTAGTGCTGCATATAAATGATAGTAATAATCATAGTAACAATAATAATAATATACAATACAATAACAATTATTATTATTGTTATTATTTTTACTACTACTTCTATGCACACTAGGTTCTATTGTGTCTGTTCCAACGTATTAAATCTCAGAAAAATAAAACCATATCATATATTATTATTATTACTATTATTAATAAGAACAATAATAATAAAAAATAATAATAAAATTGATAATAATAATGATAATAATAATAATAATCTTACAACTACAATAATTTTACTCAATGTTTTTCAAATTGCACAAAATCTAATTAAACAGGCCTAATTATGCTCACTTTGTAATGAAACATATAGTTGGTCAGTGCTCTTTAAGCACTGACGATAAACACTATATGCTCAGAAAAGCATACTATGACATCATTTTTCACAATAATGATAAAATATTGCCATACTGCCCACCCCTAATGTCTACCTCTGAACACACTACACCATAACAAAACACACAGCCCCTCAACAGTCCTTCAGTAAGTGTGAAGCAAAGACAGATTACTTTGTTCAGAAAGGTCACATATTAAGTGATTGCTGGAACCTTTTTAGTTCAGTTGGCACCTCTGCCCAAAGCAGCTAATATTAGGCTAAGTAGCAGCAACAGCACAACAGCAGTAGCTATTAACTGGCATCAGACCCATGACTGCTTGAGCAACAGCCAGTCTCTTTGACCGCTGGTCAGTACACTTCAAAAGGCAAATATCCATTATGTAACAACAACACATCGCTCAGTATTATTCAGTATCGTTACTGTGCACTTACTATAGAATACAGCAGTTAAGAGGCACAAAGGCATCACTGTGGACTTATTTAACAGAACTCTAACTCTGCTGGCTGTTCTTTGCTCTGTGCTCTACATGTTTCTACTCTGCCATTCAGTAATCACACGAAGCAGTTTAGCTGCACCACCTGGACATGTTGTGAATAAACATATCTGCGTTTCCAGTTCCAGATACCCCAACTCCAAAAAAGTTGGGACGCTGTGTAAAATGTAAATAAATGTAAATAAAAACAGAATGCAATGATTTCCAAATCTAACAGATTCACATTTTATTGACAACAGAACATAGAACACATATCAGATGTTGAAAGTGAGACATTTTACCATTTCATGAAAAATATTAACTCATTTAGAACTTGATGGCAGCAACGTGTCTCAATAAAGTTGGGACAGGGCTGTGTCTACCATTGTGTAGCATCCCCTCTTCTTTTAACAACAGTCTGTGAACTTCTGGAAAGTGAGGAGACCAACTGCTGGAATTTTGGGAGAGGAATGTTGTCCTATTCTTGTCTGATGTAGGATTCTAGCTGCTCAGTTCTGGGTCTTCTTTGCCGGGTTTTTCGTTTCATGATGCACCAAATGTTTTCTATTGGTGAAAGGACAGGCCAGTTCAGCACCTGGACTCTTCTTCTGCGAAGCCATGCTGCTGTGATGGATGCAGTATGTGGTTTAGCATTGTCTTGCTGAAATATGCAAGGCCTTACCTGAAAGAGACGTTGTCTGGATGGGAGCAGGTGTTGCCAAAACCTCTATATTTTCATTCAGCATCAATGGTGCCTTCACTGATGTGCAAGACACCCATGCCATGTTCACTAATGCACCTCTATACCATCAGGGATGCTGGCTTTTGAACTGTGTGCTAATAACAAACTGGGGGTCTTTAGCTCGGAGGACACAGTGTCCGTTATTTCCAAAAAAAAATTCAGATTTTGATTCAGTGGACCACAGGACGCTTTTCCACTTAATCTCAGTCCATTTTAAATGAGTTTGAGCCCAGGGAAGTTGGCGGCGTTTCTGGATCCTATGCATATGGTTATGATATGGTTTCTTCTTTGGATGATACAGCTTTAACTTGCATTTGTGGGTTACATGGCGAACTGTGTTCACAGACAGTGATTTCTGGAAGTGTTCCTGAGCCCATGCAGTGATTTCCAGTACAGAATCATGCCTGTTTTTAATGCAGTGCCACATGAGGGCCCGAAGATCACAAGCATCCAATACTGACCGTCGGCCTTGTCCCTTCCGTACAGGGATTTCTCCAGATTCTCTGAATCTTTTGATATTATGTATTGTAGATGGTGGAATATCCAAAGTCTTTACAATTTTACGTTGAGGAACATTTTTCTGAAATTGTTCCACAATTTGTAGACACAGTTTTTTCACAGGTTGGTGAACCTCTGCCCATCTATACTTCTGAGAGAATCTGCCTCTCTAAACTGCTCTTTTTATAACCAGTCATGTGAATTAGTTGCAAATTGCTCCTCCAGCTGTTTTTTTTATTAGTACCACTTACTTTTTTCAGCCTTTTGTAGCCCCTGTCCCAACTTTATTGAGACACGTTGCTGCCATCAAGTTCTAAATGAGTTGATGTTTTTCATGAAATGGTAAAATGTCTCACTTTCAACATCTGATATGTGTTCTATGTTCTACTGTGAATAAAATATGGGTCTATGAGATTTGCTAATCATTGCATTCTGTTTTTATTTACATTTTACACAGCGTCCCAACTTTTTTGGAATTGGGGTTGTATTATATACGCACAAAACATGTTTTAGAGAAAATAACAGGAGACTAAGTTTTGAGAGTTGGGCAAAAACATAAGTGCTATGTGATTAGCAGTGAGCCAGGAATATGTACCCTGTATCTTCACAGTTAGCTCACTTGTCTACTCCCAATCCATTCTCATTACCTGCAGTCTAGCCTGACATTAGAAAACCATGTCAGGCTAGACTGCAGGTGATGGACTTAAATGGCCCTAATGAGCAGCTGATTACAGGCAGACAGATGTGTGACCTCATAGCACGAGGTAATCCGTTCTACACTGTGGAGAATCTAACAGTGAAGCAGACACTACTGTTGGTAGTGAAGAGGTCCGGGACATGAAATAGGCCCATATTGACACTATGCGTCCAAAAGTATCCAGACACACCTTCTATTTAGTAAATTCAGCTTTTTAAAGTGCACCAGATGCTGACAGGCATTCAACTGCATGCACACTTGAATGATCTCCAAAGAAAATCAATGACAATAGAATGGGATGCTCTGGAGCAGCCACACGAGCCTAAGGTCACAATACCCAATGCGAGGCATCAGCTAGAGGGGTTTAAAGCCCCCCAGCATTTATTTGAAAAAGTATATAATAATATATATATATATATATGTATATATATATTATATCTATATATATATATGTCTATATCTATGATAATGTTTACTGATGTTTGCTGATCAGTGTGTGTGTGTGTGTGTGTGTGTGTGTATATATGTATATATATATGGCAGGTACTATTTGGGTGGTGGGTCATTCTCAGCACTGCAGTAACACTGATGTGGTGGTGGTGTGTTAGTGTGTGTTGTGCTGGTCTGAGTGGATCAGACACAGCAACACCTTGTCAGTGTTAATGCTGAGAATGATCCACCACCCAAATAGTACCTACTCTGTGAGGGTCCATGGGGGTCCTGACCACTGAAGAACAGGGTCAAAGGGGGCTCACAAAGTATGCAGAGAAACAGATGGACTACAGTCTGTAACTGTAGAACTACAAAGTATATAGTAAGTGGAGCTGATAAAATGGACAATAAGCATAGAAACAAGGAGGTGGTCATAATGTTATGCCTGATCAGTGTGTATATATATATATATATATATATATATATATATATATATATATATATATATATATATATATATATATATATATATATATTCATTGTCCATTTTATGTGTGCAGATACAAATATGCACCTTTTTGTCTTTGAACCCAAAAATCAGCAAAACTGATGATCCTATCTGAGAATAATTGAGAATAACCACAACATTTATAAAAACTATGAAACAAAATATCAATACATCAAACCAATTTTTGCAGATACAAATATGCACCTCATTTTTTTACATTTTTTAAATGATCATTTTGAAAGTCTTATTTGTCTTTAAACCCCTTTCCTTCCAGTTACTACCATTAACTCAGTGATGTCAGCAGCCTGTGCTGATTATGACTCAGTTATGACCTGTGTGCTATGCTGACTGCTATACTGTAAAGATTAACCCATGATTTGATAAAAGGAGCAGGAACAACCTGACTTTCTGCCACTTGTCAGTACTCAATCTACAAACTCCTACACCAGTATAAACACGTCATGGTTACGTCCTGCAAAGCTAACAACACGATGCATCTGCAGATCTAGCATGTATACTACCATGTTCACTGTGAGCTACCACGTAGCCCTGCGTGGGTGAGAAGTCATAGGAAATGCGCTGTAGTGGTGTATAGTGTCAACTTTGAACTACTGCTCTGGTTGAAGAGCATGCTTTGATAAATCAGGGCTATCAGGAAAGGAAATATTTGGACTGCACTGTGTGGTGAGGTGAATAAATGACTGATAAACTGTTAAAACAATGTTAAAATGTAATTATAAAAAAGGCTTCATTGGAGTTTTGCTATAGAAGAACAATTTCTGGTCCCATAAAGATTTTTTATATTGATCTTTTGGTTCTTTAAAGAATCATTTTTGTAAAAAAAAAAATAAAATAACTTTTAGGTTTAAAGAGCCTCCACATAATGTAATGATTCTATCATTTCCTAGAACCGTACCACCTAGAAATCTTTATTTTTGAAAGCATAGGACCACCAAGTTGATAAATGATCAACCAAATCTACACTGATTTCATGGCAAAACCTTTGAGCCAATCTACTGACATAACTTTTTATACTCTCTCAAATTTTCGATTTACTTTCATACAGTAAAATATCCAGCACTGAACGTTCACCTGGAAATAAATGAACACTGTAAATGTTAATTTAACACTACTGAGTGTATATTTCCATTTTTAAACCACTTGCATTTCTAGATCATCTACTTTCATCAGTTGATTTCTTTCATCTCCCCTAAAGCTTTTTTCAAATCAAAAGAACTACAATATATATACACACATATTTACACACACACACACTATATATATATATATATATATATATAAATGTAACTATATATATATAGTTTATACAAATATAATGTGAACTAATACATACAGGTTAAATGACCAAACCATGTGTTGTAAATGTGATATCACAACCAAAACTGGATGGTGGTGTTCAAGCCTAAAACAACAAAAAGTGGATATTCTAATATTCCAGGCCAAAAAACAGGCCTGGAAATCAATTTACAGAAAAAAACTGCATTTTAATCTCAATCACAGTTAGATACTTTCCCCAAACTGTTCAGCCCTAAACTTCACTATTCATAAACAACAGGCTCTCCTAATGCATGCTCACCTCCTGAACATGGGGACACAGTCTGAGCTCCTGAAGCTCTGCTTGAAGAGATTTACAAGTGGAAAATGCAGGTCTGAGAGCCCATATAAGAGTGAGTGAACACAGAGCCACTGCTGAAACTGGCAGGCATAACGAATATATTGATTTTTTTCATTATGAAATTAAATAAGTTATATCCCAATCACACTTGGTACTCAAAGCTCCAGCAGCATTAGATGCATAGGGCCACAATGTGTTATGGCGTTGACTAGCCTGTAAACCAACAGCTTACTTTAAATCAGACAGTATAAAGACCTGTTAGCTAACAGATCACATTACTGAACACGGTTAGAGTCGGGAAATAAAAAAGCAATTCAGACAGCAAGATGGAGGCTGACTGTTAGTTGATTAACTGTTATGGCTGGTTATGAAATAGTTCAGGTAGGTTAAGTTAGCTAAACGGATTTAGCTAAAGCTTCGTCTCCTTGTTGTTCGAATTTTCCCGTTCCACCTTAAATGGTGCAGCAGTTCCATTCTGGCGCTTGAAGCCTGAGGCGCCAGAATGGAACGGCTGCACTATTTAAGGTGGAACGGGATAACTGGAAAAAGAAGCTGGCGAATGTGAGCACAATGTAGTCTAAATAAGAAAACAAGAACCTCTCTTCGACGAGACCACGGCTAAGTGGACAAGCTGTCCTTTTATTTAGGACAATGTGGATAAAAGGTCAACCTTTTTTTGTTTATCTCGCCAAACTGCTGATTTATTCCAATTAACAACATAAACTTCTGAAACTTAAGACGTTGGGACCGTTATGAAGCAGCAGTAGTACCAATCCGTACTTCATGTCGAGGCTTTTAGGGACTAAATCTCTCATTATTTAGGGTTTAACTGAATGTTTTGATTGTAAAGTAGGTTAAGTGCCGCGCTTCACGTTAACGTTAGCTTAACGTTGCATAGCGACGACCCTGCTCCGCGTTGTGAGACACAGCGAGCTGTTATTAAACACATATCAAACCCGCCTTACCTCTCGAGACCGTGAACCCACAGATCCCCGGTTTGGTCAGCCCAGGAAGCCCGGAGAGCTGCAGCGGCATGGCGGTCGGCGGGTTTGACCGGACGGTAAGAGATTTAGTCAGCAGGCGGCTTCACCGCAAGGTCGCCCAGCAAGTCTGACAGACTGTAAACCCGAACGCAGACGTCACCGAGCTGACCAATGAGCTGTGAGCTCCGCCGGCTTGCTTACGCATGAGGGCGGAGGGCGGAGCCACGAGAAGCCGGTTGCATAAAACAACATTTTCACTTCATAAAACCGTTGAAGGGAAGCGAGCGCTCAAATACTCCACTGTAACAGGGGAAGCCCACCGATTCTTCAAAATTTCTGCATAATTAAATGCTAAACAAAGTCATTCAGAGTGGTTTGGTGTGAAATGCTCTGTTCTGGACAAACCTGCTCAGAACTGTTCACGGTGGTGGTGATAGGAACCAGAGGTCTGAGGGGCTTAACGCCTTTAAAAGCACGCTCACATTAAGTTATTACACGAAATGGTTATGCATACAGCCTGAATTTGACCTAAAATGCAGTTTAATTCATTTATTTTAATCTAATTTATTTATAAAGGGTGCTATAAGGCAAAGTAGTCCCCAAAGAAAACTTTTTTTTTCAGATTTATGACTATTCTACCATCATCAACATTATATATAAATACTCAGAAGACACGTGTAGGTTAAACTGGTGGTTTTGGAAAGTAAATAAAGTGACTATATTTGCATCGTAGACATTGTGACTCCTGGTTCCTATCACCACCACTGTAAAGAAATCTGGGTCTGTAAGTTTCTTTACAGTGTACCATTTCGCACCAAACCACTCTGAAGGACTCTCTCAACCATTGAATTATACAGACATTTTGAAGATTCAGTGGAATTCCCCTTTCAGTGTGACAGACTAAACGAACAAATTGTAATAATGATACTAATACTACTAATACCAATAATAACTCCATTAATAATAGCAATCCAAATGATGAGTTACTATTATGAATACTAAATAAGATGTTATAATAATTGATAAAGCTCATCAAAGCTGTGGCTGCATAAACCCTTAAAGGTGAATTCCATTTTTTTTTTTTTACACAATTAAACCTGCCTTAATTCACTAAAGACACACCAAAAATGAGGAGAATCATTCCTCCAACCAAGGCCTGGAATCAAGTGTTACAGATGTCAGATTCCTGCATCTTGTTGTTTAAATCTGCTTTATGTTCATATAGAATTTCTTACCTGCCACACTCTTCCATATGATGCCCTCTTTTTGAGTCTTGGTTCCTTTCGGTGGCTCTTCCTCATGCTCTTATGGCAGTGTGCCACTAGGGATGTACCCATCAATCCAGTAGTCTCACAAAGGCTAATATCCTAAATAGAATTAGTGTCAAATTAACTGCCACATAAACTGACTGTTCAGTGGAGTGAAATAAATATCCACTCATAAATGACACCGGCATCGTGGAGCGTCTCATGTGGCTGTCTGTGCCTGTGAGCATAGGCATGTGTGTGTTTGGTGCTGTGAAAAACGTATTTGCCCCTCACCCGATTTCTTCTATTTTTTGCCAATTTGTCACATTTAAATGTTTCAGATCATCCAACTAATTTAATATGAAATAAAGAGTAAACTCAAAATGCAGCTTTTACATGATCATTCCATTTAGTGAAGATAAAGATTTAATCAAAACCTGTCACCTCTGTGAAAAAGTCATTGCTCCCCTAAACCTAGCAACTGGTTGTGCCACCCTTGGCAGAAACAACTTGCCATGAGTCTTTTACATCACTGTGGAGAAATTTTGGCTCAATTTTCTTTGCAAAATTGTTTTAATTCAGGTACATTGGAAAGTCTTTGAGCACGAACTGACCGTTTAAGGTCTTGAGATGAGATTCAAGTCAGGACTTACGCAACTGCTCTTGAGCTTTAGGTCACCCACTGACGGGTGGACCTTCTCCTTTAGGATTTTCTGAAAGAGAGCAGAATTCATGGTTCCATCAATTATGACAAGGCGTCCAGGTCCTGAAGAAACAAAGCAGTCCCAGACCATCATACTACCACCACGTTTCACCATTGGTATGATGTTCTTATGGTGGAATGCTGTCTTAGCTTTACGCCAGATGCAAAAGGACCTATTACGTCTCCTGAAAAGTTCCACCTCCGACTCGGTCCACATAATATTGACCCAAACGTTTTGGGGGTCATTAAGATGATTTTTGGCAAACACAAAACGAGCCTTTGTGCTCTTTTTAGTCATCTGTGATTTGCACCTCCCATTGATGCCATTTTTGCCCAGTGTCTTTCTTATTGTGGAATCATGCACATTGGACCTTAACTGAGGCAAGTGAGGCCTGCAGCTCTGTAGCTGTTTGTCTGGGCCCTTTTGTGACCTCCTGGATGAGTTGTCAATGCGCTCTTGTTGAAATCATGGTAGGCTGGCCACTCCTGGGAAGGTGGCTCTCACTGTGGTTTGCTGGTAGATTTCAATGACTTCGCATCAGTATCTGAATCTATGAACGCGGCATCATGTGCTGCTTTTTGTGACCTTCTAGCCTGCGTCACATTGCCAGACAGGTTATATTTAAGTGATGTTTAGATCCAGCAGGTCTGGCAGTAATCAGGCCTGGGTGTGGATACTGAAATTGAACCCAACAGTCAATTGAATTTGGTTAACTGGTTGATTTAGTAGCTAAGGGGGCAATTACATTTTCCCACACAGGGCCAGGAAGGGCTAGGGCTGAACAGCATTTTTCCTTTAATAAATCATTAAAAAAAACAAAAAACAGCATGTGTTTACTTGAGTTTCCTTTGTCTAATATTAAAAAGAGGTTTGAAACATGATCACATACGAGGATCTGAAACATTGAAGTGCGTCAAATAAGCAAAAATAGAATGAATTGGGAAGGAGCAAATACTTTCTCACAGTACTATGTAAAACAAAAAAAAAAATGGCCCAACAATTAAGTAAAACAAGCATCACAAACACACTGGTGCCTGTAATAGCAACTGGAACTCTCACAAAGTAGCATTACTGATAAAATTTAAAGGGAACTACATACAGCATTGGTACCCAAGTTAAGGTGGTGCTACAGTCTCCAAACTGAAACATCTGTTACTTCCTATTAGGTGAGTTTGCATGATTTGCTCCACCAACTGCCTTGAAAAGGGGGGGAAGAAGAAAACACAACTGTTTCCATTTACTAAATGGCTATAATATATAATATAAATTAGGCTCATTATTTAACTGAAATTAGGGAAAATAAAAAATCAAAACTCATCACATACCAGAATCAGACTTTAGTAATCATTTTATTACACAGTTTTAATCAACACACAAAGCTCAACGAGCCTGTCAGGAAATTAAATATACAGAAGTTTGTCTGTGAGGAGTTGTGTCCTCTCACCCAGGGACCCAATCGAGTCTGTCTCAGCCATGTTAGCATCTAATTCAACAAGAGCAGAGGGGGAAAAAAATAACAATGCGGCTAAAATGGAACTAAGAGAGTTACAGGGGGCGGGAGAAAGGAGGAAAAAAAAAATTCATAACACGTGCTTAACTAAGATTCTGTATTAAATAACTGGTCCAAACTTCTTGAGAACAGTGAATGAATGCTGAATTGGTTGTGGCTAAGGGAAGGGGTAGAGACAGTCTTGGTTATGGCAAATGGGGAAAAAAAAAAAATATATATATTCATAGTATTCAAGTCCTTTCGAATGATCCAGAAGAGAAGGACCCATAGGCCCGACATTTTCCATTAATAACCTGCTATGATTTTAAAAGAATTCCTTATAGATTTTATACAAAACAAAAAGATAGCCAGCATATACCCCTCCCTCCTCTGCCAAAAAGAAAGGAACAAAAACAAAAAAGAAAACTATTTCCTGATCCAAAATACATCTGGAAGCCCAGGAAATGGAAATAAATGGAAAAATGTAAAGAACGTATCCCTCAATCTCCACTATATCACAAAATGAAAAAAGGCCCTCCCTCCCCAGTGCTTTAAAACAAGGAATGCTTTTAGAGTCATAAACATTTTCAACTGCAAAAAAATCGAGACTGGCTGACCCTAAGCGGCGGGCATGTCACCATAGCAACGGAGACCATAAAGCAAGAGACATGGAGCAGAGTTTTGTTTTGTTTTTTTTTTGGGTGGGGGTTGAGGAGGTGGTGGTGGCGGTGGATACTGGGGGGAAATAACTGGAGTTGGGCTACAGCTGAAGTTTGAAAGTATGTACACCATGGCTACCAAGGGGGAGGTGGGGAGGTGCAGGGTGGGAGTATGGGGGGAGGTGCTCTGGTGAGGGGAGGCGTGGCTTAAAGAAAGCACTCCAATGGAAACCAACAAGATCTTGTTTTTTTTTCTTAAGCTTATCTCTTAAACTTTCAAATCTCCCCTAACCTTAAGATGGAGAGGTGTAAATTTTTTTCCCGCCATGATTCTAACTCCAAAACTACATTGCATACTTTTGTGTCCATTCCCGAGCTATTCTGTTGTACCTGAGGAGGAAAAAAAAAGAAGGAAGTGTTATAGTTCCAACTCTGAAAATCAAACTACAGTGTAGTTCATTCTACATTAATAGCATTTAAAGACGGAAGCACTCAGGCTCCCACTACACAGTGAGATGACCGTGTAATAACGGTCAAGTGTTTATTTTAGACTAACAGCCAGTCTTGTGTCAGTCATGAGCCACGGTAGCATCAGCTGACCTGTTTGTCTGAGTATTTACAGGAAAAAAAAACCCTCGGCGTAGTAGCTGCTGTCTGCTTTGGTTTCACTTTCAAATTCATTGTTTTGAGGACATTCAACACTTTAAAGCACAACAAGTTTTATAAAGAAGTCTGAAAACAGTGGATTGGCATTGGTGTCAATGCTCCACTGAGGAATGCACAGATTGGGTAAAATAGTATTTAAAGGCGGTTCTCAAAGCACTTCCTTCACTTTTAGCACTAATTTCAGTGTTTCAGTGACGAGTCACCCTGTATTAGCAGCACAATGTTTATCTGTTGTGACATTTGCAGGATCTCAGACTTTAGAAACTGTATGTTTACTTCCACGCAGGAAGCAGGCGACAGATGGTCTACCCAAAGAGCTGTTTAGACTGACAAATACATTGATGCATATCAGCCATTTCCCTGAAGTCTGCACAATCCTATCAAACTATTTTTTATTTCTTTTTCTGGTCTGAACAGACTCGCATATCAGTCCATTAATTTTAGTAAACAGCCAAGTCAACAGTACGGCTAATCCAACACATCCTATCCTGATGAGGAAAAGTGCAAGTCAGTTGACCGTTTGACTTGGTGTATAAACGCAACCTAGAACTTCCTGCGCAATCCTATCACATTCACAGGCTGCAGTTGTTAAACTGAGCCTTCAACTGACTCTGTAATACTAATATTTTTTTTTATTTATATTTATATATATATATATATATATATATATATATATATATATATATATATAAAAAATTAGAGAGAGTCAGCTTGAAGCCTCAATTTAACTAATATATATGTTGCAGGACATGCCATTCAGGCAAGCTTCATTGCTAATAGCAAAATTCTCACATTTAAATTTGAGAATTGTAAACCATCACAGCTACGGCATTATTTTGAATATAAACAATGGAGGTTTTCAGGAGGCAAGAGAGTTAAGTACTAAGTCGCAAGAAGTCATTTGAGCCAATTAGCTTAAATGCACATGCATTACAGTTGAAATGAACTTTTGAGAAGTCCTTTTCTACTTAAGCCTAAATCACTCCTATTTATATCAGCGAAGTAGAATGGTACCATTATAAAGCTCCATGAATGCATTGTTTGTACATCAACCCCACACTGAGAAAAAGCAACTCAAGAATAAAATAAATAAATAAACGAATAAATAAGTAATCAAAGCAAGTATTTGGAGCCAAAATGCTGCCTGGGGGAAATCAAGTTACAGTACATTAGGCGAGCACTCACTTTTCCCTGTCAGTCTTGTAGATGCGGGCGATCTCGGGTACTAAGGGGTCGTCCGGATTGGGGTCGCACAGCAGAGAGCAGATAGACAAGAGTACTGTTTGAAAAACAGAGGGAAAACAAAACAAACAAGTTAAACTCTAGTAAAAAAGGATCAATGCAACAGTGTGACAAAAACTAGACAAATCAAGGGCCCATTTACATGACGCCTATAAATCAAGGGCCCTTTATATGATGCCTTGCGGCAGTTTTAACTCACTGACTCCTCTAAAACAAGTTTTTCTTTTGCACTGCTCTACTTAACTCAGTAACACAGAACTCCTCTTATTCAGATTTGGCGGGTCTCTCTGGCTTTATTCAGTCTGGAGGCTCATGTTACCTCCTCTGAGTTTTGTTCAGTAGCACTTACACAATATTCTTACATTAAATATCCACTTTCTCCCATTTTAGCAGAACAAAAAAGGCTGACTGCATTTGTTCCACTGGCTTCAACATGTTCTCCTCAAAAGAACATTACAAGATTTCAAGCCCGTTAATGCAGACAAAAAGGAAGATTCGCCTTTACCTGTCTGACAAGCTACAGCTTTGTGAAGTGGGACAACCAATGGCATGTGTGTTAGGGATGTTAACGATGAACTGAATAAGTCTTAAGCAACAAAAACATGCATATCCATGCTTTGTTAAAAGGCTCATTTTACACTTTATTTTAACCAGTAGTGCCAGAGCTGTTGATCAGATGGTATAGTAAAGATCAAGCTATCGTATATAGTTTGCAGCATCAACGCAACTAGAATATTTAGTCCTTAAAAAAAATAAATAAAAAAAACTAATAACAAATAAATAACAGCACAAAAGATGCAAGCTATTGATTATGCTGATTATTAAACCTAAGCTACTATACAATAAATGTAAGCAAATTGATTACATTAGCATCATTTTTGGCATCATATTAGGCTGTTTTTTGCCCCCCATTCAATAAAACCTAAAGTCTTTTTTTTAATAAAACACAGAGCTGTGCTGGATGTTTTCACCAGTTATGTCCACGATTTTAGGTTTGTTGGGTAATGCTTTGTTACTCAAAGACTAACGGTTGGTTTTTGGTCAAAAGAATTGGCCAAAATTTGCATCCCCAAAACGTATACAATAACACAAATACTCTAAAACAAATAAAAATAGACCCCCCCCCCAACTCCACCCCAATTATTCTATATTTTTACTACAACAAGAGCCCTCCCTAGTGTTTTTCCATTAGGCACTGCTGGGGTTTTCACCAAGTGTTTATACCACAACACACTGCCGACATTCCAAGTGAGTATTGCCCATAGTGCTTTTCCATAGCATTGGTTCCTTATTATCCTGCGATCCTACATGGACTTTACCCCACATGCCAATCCCCATTCCATAGCAGAAAATGGTCATGTACAGTAGCACAAAAGGAGTGACCAGCCTTAAAAAAAAAAACAATGCTAAGGTTACCAGTGAGCCTGGTCTTAATGATAAAGTGCCTGTGTGGATCCAAGTAAAATGGCAGATTATCTGAGCCAGGTGTGTTGCTCTTTGGGAGAACCAAAAACTTGCTCTTAGAACAGCCCTTTGTGGACACGGCTCAAGGCCTCATATTCCACCTCATTAGTAGGAGTTTTGATCAAGAACAAATGACGATCATAAACATGGAAAAGGTCTGATCCGAAATCACGGCAGATTGTGATTATCGGCACAGGACTGCCGCTCAATTCGCCTCCAAATGCATTAAAACTTCTGACCAGTTCAAAATTAACCACCAGTGATTCAGTGGACAAGACACATCCTTATGATAAGTTTGTGTTATCTGAGAGATCCTGACTGGGTTTGTCGAGCGGACATGTACCTTTGGAGATGGTGAGAGCAGGTGACCACTGAGACCTTAGAATATCCAGACAGATGCTGCCATTGCTGTTGATATTTGGGTGGTAGATTCTTGTGGTGAATGCAACCTAAGAGACACATAAGAAACAAAAAGATTTAGTTACCTTCGGGAACTGACCATACTGAAGCCAGAGAAATTCTAAGAGCAAACAGATTAAATAATACTGAATAATATTGACTGTCACAGTCTACATAAGACTTCTGTTTAAAACCTGAAAATGCTGAATAAACCTTCAATATCAGTTATAGCAAAGCTTAGTCCAAGGTAGTGCAGAACTCTTCTACTAAAAAGATTCCATACATTTAATTAACTGACAAAGACATCATACACGATTCACCTAAAGCAAACTAAACCTCCTCACTGAGCATTAAAGAAGCTCGTCTAACAGAGAAGGTGTGACTGAAACTGACCTTTGGCGGTTTGAAGGGGTAATCTGTGGGAAAGTGTATGGTCAAGAAGAACACCCCACCCTGGTAAGGACTGTCATTCTGTGGGAAGGAGGAGAAGAAAAAAAAACAACACATCTGAATCACAACTTTTGGGGTTTAATGCAAGAAACTTCTCATTAATCACTGCTGTGACAAAGTGCTTAAATTATACAGAGGAAAGGATTCTGAAACATTGCTCAATAGTAATGTGGGGACCAAATGGGTATTTATGTAATTCAGAGGCCAATGAGGGAGGAAAGTACTTACTGGTCCCATTATTGTGGCCTGCCAGTGAAACACTGCAAGAAACAAAGAAGAAAGCAAGTGTTAGTCCTCTCACATATTTTGTAATGGGTAATATTTGAGTATAATAAAGTCTGAGTGTTTTTTGTTTAAATAAAAGTCTTCATAAATGCATGTATTTTACATTACAACTGATTTGTCACTGTATTGTGGTTCATCAGAAAATGTGATTTTTTTCTAGTTTGTGCCATCAATCCAAACTAAAAGGCTTGCAGCAACTAAAACCATATCCCAAATAGTGATGAGCTGCCGCTATCAAATCAGGAGTACTCAGAAAACAGGTCCAGACAGGGCAACAGCACCTGACATTTTTATATTACGGTGTTATGTCACTGCTAATGCCATAGCCAGGGGCAACCGTGTAGAGTGGGCGTTCTCAATCATGTCATTTTACAACACTAAGCCAGAAACACGACAGCTTTAAGAGAACCATAACTACCAGAGAGCATGTTCAAAGTGATACTTGCGACATTTTTTGGAAAACCCAACCGTGAACACTTCTTTTTAGGCTTAATTTGTTAAAAGGCACATATATCATATCAAAACTGGGGCTCAGAGATGTACTGTAACTCTAGAATGAAGGGTTAGTGGGTTAACGGAAGATTTAAATTAGGTTATTCCTGAGCTGAACAAAACTTTAGATGCTGCAAAACATTGCCGTGAACTAGAAGCGGCCAACGGGACAGTATGACTTCATTTCTTCTGAGGTGTACAAACAAAACGCACCGGCAGTGACTATGAAAAACTGAGGAAAATTATTTTATTCAATTTTTTGCATGATTGGTCTAACTATTTCCACACTAAATCCAATTAAACCGAATTAAATTCTATTTGTAATAAAAACACGCAGCTATTTAAGTACTGAGGATTTCCAAGATACACTCACAACATATAACAACCCAAATTAGGGCTGAACAATCTTTGGAAAATATCTAATTGCGACCAACTAATTTTAGCAAACTAATATTGCGGCTGCAAATTTAATTGCGATTTATTATAAACTGACATTCAGGCTTGATTTATTTTGGCCAAGATCACAATATCCACCTTTTTTTGGCCTGAGGCTCGACCCCTCAACATAGTGTGCCAAACTGCCTGTAAGTTGTGGTTATGATGTCAGAACACGCGGTGGCTTGGCAGCCTCGGACTGGTCCAACTCATCTACAGGCATTTTATAAGCTCTTATTAGGTTCAGTTTCCCCTCTTAAAACTTAAAACAATGCTTTTGATAATATACACACTTTAAAAGATGGTTCTTTAAGGGATCTTTAGTAATGACAATGGTTCTATATAGAACCATAAACACTCAATGATCCGTTTGCATGCTTAAATTTAGGGAGAATGTGTTGTATATGGTCCTCCAAAGCAGAAAGGGTTCTATACAGCACCAAAATGATGGTCTGTTGTTACAAGCTTGACATTATAACAATAGCAGAACCCTTTTTTGTGCTATAAAGAACCAACACATTCCCCATCAATCTAAAGAACTATTTCACCATGCAAATGGGTTGTAGAGTGTTTATGGTTCTATATAGAATCACTGTGTAAACTTTAATAAAAGAGCCAACTTTTTAAAGAACCACGAAGAACTCTTTAGTGTAGGCTATAATTTACAAAATTGCATCTTTTTTCTGTCTTAAAATTACAGTTTCGATGTAAAAACGATTAATCTTTCAGCTCTAACCCAAATTCTCCCAATAACACACCATACTGCCCACCTCTACCTGGAACGGAGGTATGAGACACACTAATCCACCCAAGAACCCCTCTTTGTATCTTTGCATCTTTCCGCTTTAGGTCAGCATCTTCACCTGTGTGTTCTTCACAACATGAGGATGTTCTGCATGTCAGAGCAGCCAGGCCTGTTTCCAGCCGCTGTGCTGGTACGCCAGTCAGAAACTTCCAGGAGATATGAAGCAATAAAGGAATTTCAAGAATGAACTACCGGTTTATAGTGCGCAAAACAGAGCAGCGGCATGTTTGTTGCAAGCATTTACCGTCGCTCTCATTTGTTTTTCACGTTCACCTTTGAGCCATTATCAAGGTTATGGTGTCTTGGCCAACACGTCAATAGTGAAAGAAGGTTAAGCGCAGTTTCGTTTTTTTTTTGATCCACCATATCTGAGTATTACTTACTGTCATCTCCTACTGGCCCTGCTGAGCACTGAGCAGGTGGGTCACGGCCCAAATCGTGCAGCTCCTGCAAAAAAGCACAAAAATAACATCTTTTACGTTCACAGTTTCACATTTTAAAGCCTATAGCTCAGCTGGCACTGTTAGAGGAGGTTTACGTCCAGAGGAGCAGCAAAAACTAAATCCAAACTATCCACTGTGGCCAAGTTAGGTTTATGTATGTATGTAAAGCAGGTTCGCGTAATATCCAACAGTCAGGCCCGTAAACTCGAGTTGAGAAAGCCACACGGAAACAGGACACAACAAATAGCTGCCTACTGAAACCGAAAGGTGCAAAAACAAAAGATTAGAAGCTGAAACATCGAAGAGAGACGTGGGATCAAGTGTCCGAGCTGCCCTCGCTGCCGAGTCAACGCTGCCCCAAGTTAGTCAGTAGATTAAATCAGGTGGTTCGGAAGAAAAACCTCACTCGTTTAGCTACCGGTGCGAAGGAGAGAGGTAACCTAGATGTGGACGAAGGAATCTGACCGGAGCGCCTGAACCCGAATGTTTCAGATGTGACTAAGCTTCAAACCACGTTCAGGCTTACATAAATACGGGCTGCCGCCTGCGACACATAGGTTAGCTCAGCGTTCCCGAAGCTAAAGCTGTGGCTTGAGTTGGTCAAGTCAAGCAAGACACCCTTCCTTCCTTCCGTTGCCACAACCACAATCAGTCAATAATAACAGAGGAGCTCTCATCATTTAGATTACAACATTTAGGATTATCGCTGAACAGCTAGAGAGAGGAGGAACGAGAAAGAGAAAATGCAGGAACAGCCATCCGTTCGGCGTTAGCATCCGACTCCGCAGCGGCAGACGGTTAGCATGCTAGCGGCAAGCGAACGCGCTGTTAGCCGCCTGGTCCGCAAAGAACAAAGAAATCCTGGGCTGATGGCGGATATTGAGCGGTTATTCCGGGTACCTGTCCATCCACAAGTCCTTCAGAAGACCCAGCGCTGTCGAAAACCAACTTTAAAAGCGAGGCCTTCGCCCTGGCGTTCACAAATCCACTTAGCGTTAGCGTTAGCCAAGCTAGGTGGCTGGCTAACACGAGCTAGCCAAGCTAAGCTAAGCCAAGCCAAGCCAAGCCAGGCTTAGGCACCTCTAGCGTTGGTTAACTAACCTAACCCACTGGACGTTTCTCCTCAAATATCGCTCGTTTGTCTCAACGAGGAGCCACCGGAGCAGTTCGGCCCGCCTAATCGCACGACGGGGCAAAGCAGGAGGAGAAGGAGGAGCGTTTATAGGCGACAAAAGAGGCACTTGCGGGAAAAAGAAAAGCCTAGCCTAGCCGACAGGGCCCGAAACGGGGAGAGTGGAAACGGAGACATCCGGACAGCGGTTACCGGCGCTGCTGGGTCGCGTTAAAATCCCGATATTGTAACGAACTCTCTCGCTTCGGCCGACTAACAGGCATCGCGGACAGCGCTTAGAACAGCCCGGCTCGACGAAGCCCCGAAGTGCGAGGCGGAAAGAGGCCCTTTTTTAACCGCAGGCTCGATGACTTCCTTCTCTTACCTTATGAATTCTTTTCAGAGCCATTGTTGTTGCTTGTGCTGCTGTCAGTGAAACCGAACTGCACTCGATCTTAAAAAAAAACGGGGGAAACGCGAATCTTTCTCTCTAAACCGAGACCAACCACCTCGAGGTTTAAAGTGAAGAATCCCTCGGATGAAGACGGCGTGACGGAACCGGTCGATACAGCGAAAAAAATGTTTTTTGAAGGCGAAACTGAAAGGTAGCTCGGCTAAAGAGAGAGAGAGTGAAGCGGCTCTTCCTCCCGCAACAGCAGCAGATACCAGAGCACGCACACTACGCCGCCCTTCGTTAGATCCCTCCGCGGAAAGCCCTTCGCACTATTTTGCGCGCTGCCCTCCGCCGCCATGGAAACGGGTGAGAGTGGACACAACAGCCCCGAAAACCCACGGACAAAAGCGACATTTTCACACCGTCGCCTTTATTTACAGACAATAAAACGTCTCCACTCCGACCGTAATGCTTTTCTCTATCGCTTACTGAGCCCGAATAGCGATATGGGAACTACAGCTGTAAATAAAGGCGATGACAAGAGTAACAGGTGGACTCGCTTCACGGGGATTGCAACAAAAAATAGTTTGATTTATTAAAATAAAAATAGTTTAATTGTCAAGGACGAGGAAGGCTCGGAAAATAGTCATGTGAAATTGAATTACGCTCGGATATAAAACCACACAAACATTAAACAGGAGACAAATGTAGAAAATGGCCTTTTTAACACGGTAACATTTGGTGTACAAGTTTTTGATAATGAAGGCGATGATGTTAATAAATAGCTGCCAATAGCTGTCAATATTCTTTTGCTATCATTACTATTATTATTATTATTATTATTATTATTGTTTGAATACTGGTGTGAAGGTATAACTGGGCGATCTTTACCTGTTTAAGATTTATGTAAATAAATAAATACATTTTTTTGAGGGAAAAAACGTTAAAAAAATGAATGCCTCCGAACAGAAGTTAAACCGGCGGAGGGATATTATCATGCCAATGATCTGTTTATCGCGACACACTGCGAGAGTCTCACCGAGAGAGAGAGAGAGAGAGAGAGAGAGAGAGAGAGAGAGAGAGAAATCAGGGAGACGGAGCGAGAGGAAGAGAGAGAATCCGAGAAAGAGAGAAAATCAGAGAGAGAGAGAGTTAATCGGGGAGAGAGAGAAATCAGGGAGACGGAGCGAGAGGAAGAGAGAGAATCCGAGAAAGAGAGAAAATCAGAGAGAGAGAGAGTTAATCGGGGAGAGAGAGAGAAAATCAGGGAGAGAGAGAATCAGAAAGAGAGAAAATCAGAGAGAGAGAGAGAATCCGAGAAAGAGAGAAAATCAGAGATGGAGAGAGTTAATCGGGGAGAGAGACTTTTGACTTTTAACCCCCTTTTATTGAAGCATTAATAATTAAAGAATGTTACATCCTAATAGTTATATTAATAATAATGAGGATCCCCAAAGAAAATCCACCCATCCACAAAGATTCACCAATGAAATGATATCACACCCTGATCACTGACAGATACAATACTTTCACCAGCGCACCACTTTTTCTCACAACAGGAAATGTTCTGAGTACTTTGATAAAAAACAAATTCAACTCTAATGCGCGATTCCACCAGAGCTCGGAACAGTTTCAAAACATCCACCTCCTGCCCTTCAGACATCAACCTGAAGGACTTCCACACTGATAACTTAGCTTGTCCCACTAAAAAATTAGCCAAGGTACATTTATAACGCTGAGCTTTAGAGAATTTACAGCCAAAAATAAACAGAGTCAGAGTGAACAGACCAGAGAGAGAGAGTGTGAATCGGGGAGAGAGAGAGAGAAAATCAGAGAGAGAGAGAGAGAAATTCAGAGAGAGAGAGAGAATCAGAAAGAGAGAAAATCAGAGAGAGAGAGAATCAGGGAGAGAGAAAATCAGAAAGAGAGAAAATCAGAGAGAGAGAATCAGGGAGAGAGAGAATCTGAGAAAGAGAGAAAATGAGAGAGAGAGAGAGAGAATCTGAGAAAGAGAGAAAATGAGAGAGAGAGAGAGAGAGTGTATCGGGGAGAGAGAGAGAAAATTAGGGAGAGAGAGAATCAGGGAGAGAGAGAATCAGAGAAAGAGAGAAAATCAGAGAGAGAGAGAGAGAGAATCAGGGAGAGAGAGAATCAGAGGGAGAGAGAGAATCAGAAAGAGAGAAAATCAGAGAGAGAGAGCGAGTGAATCAGGGAGAGAGAGAGAATCAGAAAGAGAGAAAATCAGAGAGAGAGAGAGAATCTGAGAAAGAGAGAAAATCAGGGAGATAGAATCAGAATGAGAGAAAATCAGATAAAGAGAGAAAATCAGAGAGAGAGAGAGAGAGAGAGAGAGAATGTGACAGAGAGAGGCAGGCTCGGCTGCTGGAGGGACTCAGGGACTCTTATTGTTATAGTGTAGGGGAATCAAACCCCAGTCAGCAGCATGGAGGGCAGAAGTGTTACCCACCACACTATACCAAAATCTCAATCCTCAACTCATTCTGACATTGCAATGTTGCTGTTATGGAGGAAAATCTATGTGGTTTAAAGGTTACATTTACATTCTAAAATGATTTTAAAATAAAAAAAGTAGAGCACTGTAACCAGTAATAGGTGAATAACATTAAAAGATTTGTGCTCCTTAAAATAAGACTAAGATATTCAAGAAAATATATAAGACATGGAGCACAATGACAAGCCTGCTGCACAACCCTGTTTCTAAAAAAGTTGGGACACTGTGCAGGATGTAAATAAAACAAAATGCAATGATGTCCAAATCATTTAAATCCAATATTTAATTCAAAATAGTACAAAGACAACATATCAAATGTTAAAGCTAAAAAATTGTATTGTTTTTGAAAAATATTTGCCCATTTTATATTTGATGCCAACAACATGTTTCAAAAAAGGGGACGGGGGAACAAAAACTTGTAAAGTTATGCATAAAAACAGCTGGTAGTTAATTGGCAACAGGTCAGTAACATGATTGAGTATAAAAAGGGCATCTCAGAGAATCTTTCAGAAGTAAAGATGAGGAGGGGTTCACCACTCTGTGAAAGACTGCACGATCAAATAGTGCAACAATTCAAAAATAACGCTTCTCAACATAAAATAGCAAAGAACTTTTGCTTTTCATCATCTGCAGTACATAATATCATTACAAGATTCAGAGAATCTGGAGAAATCTCTGTATGCAAGGGTCAAGGCCAAAAAGCAGTATTTGCTGGTGCTCAGGCAGCACTGCATTAAAAACAGACATGATTCTGTACTGGAAATCACTGCATGGGCTCAGAAACACTTCTGAAAACCACTGTCTGTGAACACAGTTCGTCGCTGCATCCACAAATGCAAATTAAAACTCCACCATGCAAGAAACCATATATAAACAGGATGCAGAAACACCCCTGTCTTCTCTAGGCCTGAGCTCATTCAAAATGGACTGAGGTGAAGTGGAAAAGTGTCCTGTGGTCCAACAAATCAACATTCGAAATCATAAACGCCGCATCCTCCAGCCTCGCTGAATGATATATTTGGGTTTTAGGGCAACATATGCTGCCATGCAGATGACATCTTTTCCAGGGATCATTTGGCACATTATGAAATGAAAAATACATCAAAGGAGACCTCGAACTGTTGAGCACCTGAAATCTTATATCTAGCAACAATGGGAAATAATCTCACTCTCAAAACTACAGCAATTGGTCTCCTCAGTTCCCAAACGCTTACAGAGTGTTGTTAAAAGAAGAGGTGATGCAACACAGTGGTAAACATGCCCCCGTCCCAACTTTTTTGAAATGTTTTGCTGCCATCAAACTCGAATTGGTGATATATATTTCACAAAACAATAAATTTCTCAGTTTTAACAGTTACAACAACATATGTTGTCTTTGTACTATTTTCATTTAAATATAGGGTTTAAATGATTTGCACGTCGTTGCATTCTGTTTTTATTTTATTTTGCACAGCATGCTGACTTTTTGGAAATGGAGTGGTGATTGAACTGATTCCAATACTGTAAATTTCAGTGTTCTGTGGCCGATTCATTAAAATGTTTTGATTACCTAAAGTGAAATACTTAATGAACGAATTTAAAGCTGTAAATTTAGCCTAACAATTTTTTTTTGCAGCTGCCAAAACCTTAAGTGCTGAAAGTTACATGTAGGGTCTAAAAGTCAGTTTACAATCAGGGATTTTTTTTCCACTTCCTGAAGAGAGCTCACTTAAGGTAAATGGAAAATTCAAAGCCAAAAGTTAGTCTATGTGGATCAGAGGTTGGATTTTCAATATGCAGTGCCTAAAAAGCTTCGGCTTGTCTGTTTAACAACATTAGGTCTTTGATTCTCCTTAAACCAACAAACAACAACACGGACAGAGGAAATGGGTCCCTACTCCCTATGTAGTGCGCTAGATAGGTCATGAAATAACGACTTCTACACTTAAATAGTGCACCATATCTCAACTTTATTTTCAGCCATAAGCTGCATGACTGTACAGCTAATGTTTAGTGCAGTGTGTGGATGTAGGAGCCATAGTTTTATTACTTTGTAGTGCATTTTATAGGTAGTAGGGAGCCAGTTGAGATTCAGCTATAGTTGCATGGAAGATCACATAATTGGTGAAATAATGGACGACATGAGCATCCAAATGCTTTTTTATGAAACAAGAGCTTCTACACCTTCTAAATGTGTCAAAAACAATATCTCACCATGAGCTCATTTGAATCAGTCAAATTACAGCCACAACAAACAGCTCAGCGTCTCAGTTCTGGCCAATTGTAATAGTACAAATTACAATGTAGATGAAAGATACATCTTACAGATGCACTGGGACGCATCATTAGTGTAGTATCCCAGGTTATTGAGTGTTTCGGGTCGTTCAGTATCAGACACCCTCACCCAGGCAACCCAGCTGGGGTTGCTCAGACCCCAGTTTGCGTCCCAGCAGCATTCGCCCATGGATCTGCCCTCTTGATCTAAAGCCACCTAGTGGCTTCAGTAGCAGCTCTGATGGCCTTCCTCTTTGACTCCCTGGTAATGCCCAATACAGACTGAACGCCCTGCAAATCCCCTGCAGCCCACCTCCATAGGCTCACAGTGAGCTCACCAGCCTTGCTTTCTACACTCTTCCACAAGCTCCCGGTACTTAGTGCACTTCCTCTCTTGGCCTCATCGATATGCTCTTCCCAGGTCACTGTGAGCTCCAGCATGACCAGTTGCTCGGTGGACTCTGACATAATGATCATATATGGTCGAAGCTGTGTTGATGTTATCCAAGCGAGCAACTTCAGCTGCTTTCCCAGATCCCCTTCCAGTTGCCAGTCGGCCGCAGTGGCAAGGAGACCAGACTTTGCTCCAGATTGTTAGAGGGGCTCCTCTCCGGCTCTGAGGAACATGACCGTCTTTCACTGGTGGTGGACCTTAAGCCCTTAGTCATGGCACCAGCGATATCGCCCATCCCCAAGGGCTCTTGGGCAGCTGCTAAGGAGGTGTTCCAAGGATCCCCTTCCAGAACACAGAGGGCGGGAAGGTGTCTCACTTTTCCCCCAAACGTGAAGGGTTGCTGAGCTCGGTAAGACACCGAATATCTGTTCCTGCAGGATTGTACCTCCTCCACACTTGCCCACACCTCCTTTCTATATGTGTCTGCTGCCATGAGGAGTGGCTGCAAAGTGGCGTGCCATGCTCCTGGGTAGGAAGGACGCTCATTATTGCAGTTGCTGCTGATATTGCTGCCGTTATAGTGTAGTTGATTGGTGTAAACTGTGTCTGAGGAGGGTGGGCTTTGTAGTATAACTAGTGGTTAGAAGTGTGTACCCTCTGCGCTGGGTTGGGCATTCAGCTAATTTAAGGTGCCCATGCAACTTACATCATTACCTTGCACAATGCCAAGGGACTACTAGAGGGGTGTATATAAAGCCCCCCAGCTCTGGGCTTTGGAGCAGTGGACCTGTGTTCTCTGGAGTGATGGAGCTTCATCCAAAACCTTTGGGATGAGTTGGAGTGTCCAGAACTAACCATCCAACATCAGTGCCTGACTTCACCAATGCTCTTGCGACTGAATGCAATCAAATCCTCACAGCAATGTCCCAGCATCTAGCGCACAGCCTTCCCAGAAGAGTGTGGGGGGCAAACTCACCTTAATTTCCGAAGAAACACCGGAAGAACAGGTGTTTTTAAAAACTTGCCTCAGTGAAGAGACGCAGGGAAACCCCACATCTCGCGCGCCTCCGCCTGATGGCAGCACGAGGCAGCGCGTGGAAGCGCGTGCGTGGGAGTTCCTGCCTTCGCCATGTCGGGGTGGTGCAGCGGCGGCAGCGGCGGCGTGTTGAGGAAACCCTGAAGTGAACACAAGTAGCCCCCCCCTCCTCTCCTCCTCTTCCTCCTCCCCCCTCCTCCAACTCTGTCCATCCATCCAACCGTCCATCCATCTATCCATCACTCTATCTATCTCTCTGTCCATCCGTCCACGGCATTCCGTCCCCTCTCTCTTTATCTCTCTCTCTGTCTCCGGTTCAAACTGCGCCAGAGCCGCCGCGTGCAGCCGCTGCCCGCTTCCTCCTCGTCTTTCTCCGCTCCATCTCCGTCTCCTGCATCCACGGAGAGCCGAGCCAGAGACGCACAGAGGCGCCGAGTGATGCTGCTGCTCCAGCGGAGCCAGAGCAGCTCTCCGTGAGGGGAGAAGGAGAGAAGGAGCAGCGCCCGTCCACCGCCACAAGCCCATGAAGATGTCAAACGCAGTCATGGGTTTGAACCCCACAGACAGGGTGATTAAATGTAAGTGGTTCTCCTTCTCTCTCTTTCTTTTTCCCCCCATCCTTCTCACGCTAGAACGCTTTATTCTCTCGCTGCCAAACAGGCTAATTTGCACGAAGCGAAGCGGCCGAAGTTCGAACTCTCCGGTCCACCTTAAACGCTGCAGCGGTTCCATTCTGTCGCCTGTTAGAACGTTACCACATTCTGTCGGCGCCAGAATGGAACCGCTGCAGCATTTAAGGTGGACCGGAGAGTTCGAACGTGAATCAAATTTTCGCCAATTTTAGCTTTGTTTTCTGCTTTATTTGGGTGCTGAGAAGCGCCATGTACGCCGTGGGATGTGATGCGAGCACCCATTGTTTATGAGCGGGCTTGTTTTTGCTGCTTATTCCTGGGTAGCTTTTGGCTAAACGTGGCTGGCTGGATGGATAGAGGGATGGAGGGATGGATGGAGGAAGCAGCGCGCTTGCGCCTTGCTGGTGAATACGTGAGAGAGAGAGCGCGAGAGAGAGAGAGAGAGAGTGAGAGAGCGGAGAGAGAGAGAGAGAGAGAGAGAGAGAGAGAGAGAGAGAGAGATTAGCATCTCGTTCCAATGAAATATTTTTTGGCACTTTGACGATGACAGCGAAAGGAAGACTTAAAGGTAGAGCCTGCTTTAAAAACGTTGTGCTTATGGCTGCTGCTAGCCAACTTAGCTCGTCCAGCTAGTCGCGATTTCGTGGCCCGCGTCTCTCTCTGTACGTTAACGTAACGTTTCACGGTTGATTGTGGGGAATTTTTTTCCGGAGCTGTGATGTTTTGGGACGTGCGAGAGCAGGAGGCGTTAATGCTGCCCAGATATGGTTATGGATGGAGGCTCGCCTGTGGGCTGGTGACATTGACTCGATACAGATGGCCTGCATCACTGTTGGCTTATTTCTGAGTGCAAATTTAAGTCAGTCTATCGATTTCGCTGGGTGAACTGCACTGTGTGGCCTGCAGACACAGAATAGCCTCAGTATATGGCAGATAGAGAGGCATTCATTTTAATGTAATAACAATGCAGGCTGCCTGTGAGGGGAGTTCAGTCCAGTGCTTTGGTGCTTACAGTCATTTTCTTATAGATTGCAGGGGGCAGATTCCAGACTGTGGATGTGGATCAGATCAAATGTGGGTACCTGATTTCTGGATAATAGGTCCTGTTGGACGAGGACATGGCTGGGAAAGGCTTTACCGGAGTCCGATATTCAATAACACTGCGATATTCAACAGAGACAGGTAGACAGGGGTATTAGATCAGGCATTATTGTTGTTGTGGACACCTATTAGTCATACAAGTTGCAGTTTGACCAGATTTCTTTGTATCTGCTCACAAGATTCACCAGCACATCACTGCAATTAAACTGTGGCAATCAGGACACTGATTGTGTGTATGTGCAGTGTTTCATTATTAATACTGTATGGCGATTATATTGTAAAACCATGACCAAAGCTTTGATAATTACTGTGCTGTTAAATGTTTATATCACCACACGCCCACTGGGGCGTTTAACATGCTCGCGTATGTCGCTTCGGAGACACGAATGGGTTAACCAGGTATGCAAGAAGCAATCACTTTAAAACGCTACCCTTTTGTCGGCGTAATGGAATTGTTTTATTAAGGAAGACGGTGTGGCGTAGAGCAGAACTGTTGGCAGCCAGTGAGTGGACAGAATGAGGGAGGGAGGGAGAGAGAGGGAGGGGAGGGCGAGAGAGGAGTCTCATTGGGATCCACTCTAAATGGGCTATCCCTCATCGAGGGATTGCAGCCGACCGAAAATTATTCAGCGGCATATGCCGTTCACCATTAAATAATTATATTACGGCATATGCCCACTGTAAGATCGCCTCAGCGGCGGGTTGCAGCCCTGGGAAGGAGTGTTCGGAGCGGAGGCAGCTCATTTTCACGAGAAAGCTGCAGATGTGAGGGGCCGAGACAGGACGAGAGGGAGGGTTGGCGGGGGGGGGGCGAGGGGGGTTTCTTAGAGAAATGGAAGTGGCGTGAACTGATGAGTGGTGTTCGGGGAGGGGAAGAAAGGGAAAACTTCACAGCAGATTCACAAGATACAAGCACACTCTTGCTTAATTAGTCCGACAATCTATGTCCAAATCAATCATTTTTAGTGGTTATTATGTTCAGTGTTCCGCATTAGGCGCAGGCAGCGCAGAGCGCCGAGCACGGCCATCTGTTAACTGCATTAATAACACTGTGATGGCATAGTAATTACAGTAACATGGCCGTGTACTTCATAGCATAACATGGCAACGTGCTGCATTGTCTTCTGACTGACTGAGCATCTAGAACATGTACGTGAAGGATCAGTGTTCAGAGAAATCCTTTCAGCGAAGAGTACAGTGAGCCGCTGTTTGCTAGCTATAGTTCGAGTAGCCTACAGTCAACAGTCTGAGTACTTTGCTGTGTTGCTGTTGCACTGGAGCCACAAGTTGGGCTGAACGAGTTGTGGAAAATGTCTAATTGTGTTTTTTTTTCTGACCAATAGTGCGACTGCGATTTAAAGGCCTTTTTTTGACCAAGAAGTCCAGCATATCCATTTCTGCAGGCTTGAGGCTTGAATGCTGAATGTAATGTAGCAGTTCATTTGTGAATAATGCAAGATACAATTAGGTCAACTTTGCTAGTATGTAGTGCAAGCTGGGTCTGTTGTCATGCATGCAAAAAGCTTTACATTGTCATCCCTTTTCGGTACAAATGCCACAAAACCACTGAAACATTAGTACCGGCCTAGCAGCTCCTATGTGAACTATGAAAAAGAAAATTAAATCAAAAACATTTTTCATAACATATATAAACCATGCTCACCTGTCTCTATTGTCCCACCCTTACTGTTATCATGTGATGTTATCATGTGGTTACTGATGTTATAATGTGACTAACTTTACTTTGCCATACTGTGACATTCAGACTAAATTAATGGTGCATTTTTTCAGGTTAGCCTCAGTTTGGAGCCATTTCTACTTTTTTACCTGTTTTTATCACACTGCTTGCGCAAAAAAGGCAAATCCACTATAGTATGGACATGTCAGCAGTTCTGAATTGCATAATTCAATTTTTGAGATGTAAACAAAGTCATTTAGAGTGTTTTGGTGCTTTGGAAATGATTCATTACCAAGAAATGAATCTTTCCAGTGGTGGTGATAGGAACCAGGGGTCGCAACGTCTACACCTCAAATATAGCCATTTTATTTGCTATCCAACCCAGTGAATGTACACATCTTTATATAAAATGTTACGCAGGTTTTTGTAATGTAAAATGTTTTAGACCAAAAGCTTATCCAGAAGTACCGTAAAACAATGTCTCAGACATCAGGCAGCATATTTCATGTAGTAACTTCCTGTGAGAGAGCTTTCTTTAGAGGGATTAAACTCTTCGGACGTCTGGTTCCCATCACTACCATGGTGAACAATTCTGATCTGAAGTTTCTCTAAAACGGAGTGTTTCACATCAAACCACTCTGAATGACTTTGTTTATGTATTAATTTTTTACTTACGCAGAAATTTGGAAAAATGTGTAGAATTCCCTATTAAGTTCCAAAATCATAATTTAGGATGCACGATGATGTTGGAATCATTTCGGTATCAGCAGATAGTTGCTTAGAAGTTAGCGTTAGACAGTTATTTTGATTTGGCCAATATATTTCAAACTGATGTTTGATGGTGTATTCACTGTATTCCTGAAGAGCAAAATGCTCAGGTGATGCTCAGCTACTGTGCTTTGCCAACAAATGTGTGCATTTTATTAATTTCACTGCATTTATAGCCTTATAGAAATCTATATCATATTTCTCACTTGGGCTAATTTAGGTGGATTTATCACAGAGAAGCTCACTTAGATTTAGAGTAGTCGTGATAGGAACCAGAAGTCGCAAAGTCTACACCTCAAATATTTTATTTTCTATATTTTCAAAATGTTTATGGATCAGCATTGGCAGATATGTACATTAAGAAAGTCAGATATTGGCATCAGTTCACAATTCCCATATCGTATTCCCAACACAATGAAAATGTGTCAACATTAATTGCAATTGGATTTTATATTGTGGTAACAATACCTGTATATGCTGACTGTATTTGCTGTTGGAAATGTGTAGTTTAAATAAATTCATACAATGATTTAATACAGAGAGAGAGAGAGAGAGAGAGAGAGAGAGAGAGAGAGAGAAAGAGAGTGAGAGAGATGTTTACTGCTTTTGTCTTTTGATCATGTGTCATATAGGCCTCCTGCTCCAACACTGGCACATGAGCAGGCTGTGGAATGGAAACATGTGAAGAATGGTGACATTACAGCATGCTGAAAAATGAATGACAAGATGTCTTTCGGAGAGGGTAGGCAAAGAAAAGAGTGTGATAAGACAAGAAAAAGGGGAGAGGACGAGAAGTGGAACAGACAAGAATTAAGCTTGTGACAAGGGACGAATGGGGCGCTCCTCAAACAACACTAAAACACGGCACACCACAAAAAACACTGCCACTGTCACCAGCAACACCACACACTTTATCTGTTTGATAGGCTACAGGGCTCAGGGTTCTCTTGCTGCTCTGCCACTATCTACTATATTAGTATTCAGTTAGTCTTCTGACTGTTTTGACCATTAATCAAAGTTAAAAAAAGAAGACTTTCACTAATTTTTTTGCATTTTCTACAATTTTGAAACTTTAAAAGGTAAACCAAGTCATTCAGAGTGGTTTGGTGTGAAATGCTCCATTAGAGGAAAACTTACTGACTCTGAATTAGTCTCAGTGGTGGTGATAGGAACCAGACGTCTGAAGAGTCTAAAGCCTCTAAAAGCTCCCTCACAGAAAATGATAAATGATTAGGAATAAGCTGCCTGATGCCTAGTTTTGGTAGAGAGGTACATGCAAGGTGTCAAAAATAGTGATCTAACACTGTCTTACCATAATCAACATGACATGCAAAACTTAAGTTAAAAAACTTAAAAAACTTAAGAAGACACGTAGTAATGAAAAAGATACGAAATTGAGTGGCTATATGTTTGCTGGAGACATCAGGACCCTGGTTCCTGTCATCTGTGTCAGCAATCCTTCATTTCACATCAAACCACTCTGAATAACTTTACATCTCAATGAACAAACCATCTATAACCAGCAAACTGCCAACTACTACGAATAAGTAAAATTTAATGAATATTTTTTTAATCGAGTAATCAAGTAGAATTGAGTAATTGTGACAGTCCTAGTTTTCAGGAAAAAACCCTGATGATTAGAAAGACTGGAGTGGATGAGAGAATAATAGCGTAATGCAACCGGTCCTTATAGGATGACGAGGTGACCTTGTGTGCCTCATGCTCTAAATGTAATGAAAGCGTCCTGCCAGGGGATGGCACATACCTGCCCGATGCAATGATAGCGAGTAGCCAGTGGATGATGCAATGGCAGGCATTGTGCATGTACATATATATATATATATATATATATATATATATATATATATATATATATATATATATATATATATATATGTATCCCAAATCCTAATCCCTAAAATTGAGAAAATAATACTTTTTATTTTTTTTGCAATTATTTTTAAAAGATCTTTTGGATTTGAAATTGAAATATTTAGAGTTTTTAAAAGTGAAATTTGTAA